AAAGAACCAGCTCTTAGTTTTATTGATGTTCCCTCTGGTCTTTTTACTCTCTCTTTTATTTATTACCTCTCTACTCTTTAGTATTTCCTCCCTTCTACTAACTTTGGGCTTCTTTGTTCCTTCTTTTTCTAGTTCCTTGAGGTTTAAAGGTGTTTTTATTTGAGACTTTTCTTGTTTCTTGATGTAGGCATTTATCACTATAAACTTCCTGCTTAGAACTACTTTTGCTGCATCCCACAAATTTTGTTATGTTACATTTCCATTTTCATTTGTCTTAGGTATTTTTTTATTTCTTTTTTATTTCTTCTTTGACCCACTGGTTGTTCAATAGCATGATGTTTAATCTTCACATATTTGTAAATTTTCAAGTTATCTTCATGTAATTAATTTTTAGTTTCATACCATTGTGGTTGGAATAGATGCTCAATATGATTTTAATCCTCTTAAATTTATTAAGCCTTGTTTTTTGACCTAATATCTGATCTATCCTGAAAAATGTTCCATATGCACTTGAGAAAAATGTATATTCTGTTGTTTTTGGATGTAATGTTGTGTGTATATCTGTTTAGTTCATCTAATCTAACACGTTGTTTAAGACTAATATTCTCTTACTGATTTTGTCTGGATAATGTATCCATTGATGTAAGTGGGATATTTAAAAAGCTCCTACTATTATTATATTGCTGTCTATTTCTCCCTTAGATCAGTTAATGCTTGCTTTATATATTTAGGTCCTCCTATGTTGAGTGCATAAATATTATATCCTCTAGCTGAATTGACCCATTTATCATTATGTAATGCCCATCTTTATCTCTAATTAGAGCCTTTGTTTTAAAGTCTTTTTTTTTTTTTTTCTGAAATAAAATAGCTACTCCAGCATCTTTTTGGTTTTCATTGGCATGGAATATCTTTTTTCACCCCTTCGCTTTCAGCCTGTGTATATATCCTTACATCTAAACTGAGTCTTTTGTAGGCAGCATATAAATGGGTATTATTTTTATCCATTTAGCCACTTTATATCTTTTGATTGGAAAATTTGATTCATTTACATTTAAAATAATTGTTGATGAGAATATACTTATTGCCATTGAGTTGTTTACTGGCTGTTTTTATAGTTCTACTCTACTACTACTACTCTTCTACCTCCTTTAATTAGAACCTAAACTATTGGGCATTTTAAAGATCTCTGCCTATTCCTTCTGCCTGAAATGTATCCCCTTCATTTCTACCTATATAAATCCTCTCATCCTCCAAGACCAGTTAACATCTATTTCCCTATAGAAGCTTCCCATGGCTTCCTAGGCAGGTGTAATCTATCCTGTAAACTCATATAACATTTTATCTATATAGCTCTCATGGAATTTATCATATATTAGACATTTAATTAGTTCATTTTGTATATGTTTTATACCTATTATAAACTCTTTAAAATCATAGACTATTTTTCTTATTTATTAGTGATGCCCTAGTGGATCCTGTAGAATAGGAGTTCTTAACCTAAGATCTACATATTCCAAAAGTCCATCTATAGAATTCAGGGGGTTTCTGAACTCATATTAAAAAAAATTCTTTTTCACTAACCTTTAAATGCAGACAACAAACCATAAAATATTCAGACAACAAACCATAGATGCAGACAATAAACTACAAAATATTCAGAGTATCTGTGACATTGTAACCAGTAAAATTACAACATATTTATATGACATTTTACTTGTTGAAAATATCTCAGAAATCACTTACACTTATCACTACTTCAAAATTATGATATTTTAGTCCTTCAATTAACTCTTGTTTATTGCAATAGCAAAGTAGCACTTTCTACCACATTACAAAATTTAAGATTTAAAATTTTAATATAATTCATTTTCTCTGTAATTCCATACATTTTGCTTTACGCATTTAAAAAAAGAAAGAATGTGTAGATGTCACTAGACTACCAAAGGGATCCACAGGGGGAAAAAAAAAGGAAGCAGGTAAGAATCTCTCAGTTCCAATACAGCGCTTTGTAAGAAAAGAAGAAAAACTTATAGAAAAATAATCATGATACCATGTAGTTCTTGATTAGGGCTATAAAAAACATAATATGAACTACAGAATATTGTATTAGCATATTATTCATAAAAATTCACAGTCTTCACCTTGGAAAAAGACCAATCCTCTGCCCTCTACAATAGCCCTATTTAAATGCAATGAAGATTGCTACATACCTCCAATTTATTACCTTCCAAAGAATATTATCCCATACATATTCTACAACTGTTAGATAGTTGGTCTTATTATAAACGATAATCTGGTTCCTTGTAACTTCTTGTCACTAATCTGCATTCTATCCCCAGGGAGCTAAATAGAATAAATTCAATCCCTCCTCCATATGACTTTAATCTTTAGAGACAACCATCATGTCATCTTTAATATTCTTTTCTTTGGGGTTAATATTACTAGTTCCTTCAACCATTTCTCTTATTATATAATTCTGTGTCTGTTATCATGTCGATTGTTCTCCTCTGAGAATACTTTTGAATCTCTCTTAAAGTGTGTTAATTCTCAACTCAACATAATACTTCAGATTCATTCAGTTAAGCAGAGAGTTCAATGGGACTACCACCTCTTTGTTACAGTAATGCCGACTGAGATAGCACTGGTAATTTTTTGGCAATATTCATCATGATAACCCTATTGTACTCTCTGTCACCTAAAACTCATAAGCTTTTTAAAAATTATTATTCATGTGTCTGCTATTTGAATTTTCTTCAGTAATTACCTGTGCATGCAGGAGTTTTGGTCACAGCCTCTAGACTTGACAATACGATCTATTAAATTTTATCTTTATGGTTAGTTTTAAGTTCATATTTTCAGTTTGTCAAAGCTTTTGAGCTTTGTTTCTTTCATACATTATATTCATGTTTCAGATTTGTAGCATCTATAAGTTTGATGAACATGCTTTTAATCACTTAATATTTATATTTACTACATTATGTCCATTAACATACTCTAAAAATGCCTGGATTTCTGATGCCTAAAACATATTACTGTAGAAAACAATCAAAGTTCTGTAAAGTACATAAAAAAACATTCTTCAATAGTAGGAATATAGTGATAAAGGACTCTTAGATGGGAGGTCTCTTGTGTCTTTCTTCCATCAAATCTATAACATACAGTAATGAAGAAGAAAAATAGAAAACAAACCATTATTTGCAAAAGAAAAAATGGATTCCCAAGCAATCCAGACCACAAAAATTATCAAAAGTCAATTTTTTATTTTTAAAGAGTCCTCTAATGTCTTTTGAAAATCACTTTCTTATAGAACTAATACCATCTTTCTGGTGAATCACAATCAACAGTAATCTAACAATCTCATTCAGCGACTATTGGTCTAGCAGCCTGTTATTCTAGAACAGAGCCAAGAATGCAGAATATACCTGAGCAACCAGAAGAGTCAGCATGATGTCCATGCTCTCTCAACAATTCACCCAGACATATTTGTTTATATTTTAAATACAGTCCAGAATGTCATGATCATCTAATTTCATAATTTTTGATTAATGCAAGGAGAAAATTAGAAATTATTCACCCCTAAGCAAGAAGTAGCAGCCTGCAACCTGATATTTAAAAAGGAGAAATACACACACACACAGAAAACTACTTCTATACCCAGCAGACACAAGAACCAAAGTTTCGTAACTGCAGAGAAATAACCATAAAGCCAAACAGTCCTAATTACCTCAGGGATCTCTGGAGCATCATTACATTATAGCACAGTAAAACAACTGACATTTATAATATGATAATCATCATAATTCCTCAAATTTATGTAGTTTAGAGTTTGTACGAGGCTTTTATATTCATTATTATAGTTAATCCTCAAAATGTTTGAGTTACCAAGTCAGGTATTGGTACCAAATCAAGTTTTAAATTTTATGGCTCAGGGAAATTGAAGAACTTACCCAGGGGCGCGTAATTGTTAGATAGGTAGTGGAGTTGATAGTTTACAGCAACATGACCCTGAGTTATCAAAAAAAATATTTACATTTTGCGCCACATAATGTGGTTAGTAAGACAAGGGAGCATGTAATACAGTTTAGAAACTTCTACAAAAATTGTTAATGTGATGGACACATGCACAAAAATTAATTTGAAACTTCCACACAAATTAATTTGAAACTTTTTAAACTTTTGAGCCCTCAAGGAAAAATATTAAGTTACATCAAAAAATCCCTTATATCAAATCCCCATTTACCTATAGTGCTACAGAAATCTAAATTTAACTTATAATGTTAGTAATAAAACCAGAACCATTAATTATCCTATATTTTAAAGTCTAAATCTGTATATAAAAATGAAAGAAAATACTTAGACATGATTAATTTTAAAATATCAAAGAGACTTCTTTCATCTGGTTTTTAGGATATAAGTGGACTGATTATTGTGGATAAAGTAGAAAAGGTGGATGTGGTATTGCAGTAGACATCATGTGTCAAAGCACTTCCCCCTTGAGCAGTAGCTTTAACATTATTAGAAATCCTCAACTCTCAATTTTATGACATTTGGAGATAAAACAGTATTTATAAATTTATAATATAAAAATGAGAAATAAATTGTTTTGGGTTTTTTTTTGTTTTTTGCTTTTTAAGCAGTTGATAATTTTATAATAAAACACCATCTATCAAAAAGAAATAAAGGAGAAAAATTAAAACTAAAGTTGCAGCTGAAAAAATTCCCATACTACCTTTTTTTTTAGGGCAAGGCTTACAGTCAGTTTAAAAACCTTGATTTGTTATCAAAAGAATGAAATAAAACGCACAAAGTTTTACAAAAATAGAGCTATCTGCTTAACACTCCTAATGGATCACAATCTGCCATCACCATGGTAACCTCTGAATAACTTTTTCTTAGCTAGTACAAATTATGTACTTCTTTGGCCTTTGAAATCCCACTCATTTTTTTAAAGGCCTAGAATCTTTAAAAGAATAAAGCCCGACAGTTAAGTCCACACATACCCTCTTGTTCAGTCCGAGTCATTTCCTCAAGCTTCTTCTGTTTCAATGTGTCCACCACATCGGCAAGGCTCCCTTTGCGGCGTTCTGGGGTTCCAAAAGTAACACTGGTCATTATCTCGCGGTCCCGACTCCCTTCGTCAGGCTTATGTGGTGAGGTAGAGGTATTTCGGAAGGAATATAGGGAACATAACTTATTATTCTCTGACTCCTAGAAAAACAAAATAAAATAAAACTATTAGAACACATGTTTCTTTACATATCGTTTAAGAAAAATCCCAAACTCAGAATAACAGTATATAATGCTTAGATGAACAAAATATATTAACTATCTCTGCTTAAAAAATACTAAACATTAAAGAAGGAATTATCAAAGAAACTAACTTGAAGTTGCAGATTCCAACTGTTTATTTTTTAAATTAGAAAGTAATTTAAGTAGTTCAAAACAATTCTAAAACAGACACTTCAACTTATTTATTTACACCCTTCATTTAAAATAGTTCAGATTCAATTATTATTAGCATTGGTAAAATTCTTCTTTTAATTGGCACTTTTATTAGCAATGGTCTTCCTGCAATCTAAAAAATATGTACATCACAAAAATATTATCCTTGAATTTAGAACCAGCAGAGAAATTAGCTTCAATAACCAATGTTAATTGTTCACCATAAAATATATAAAATATCTAAATCGTGCCACGAAGTTAACCAACCTGAATATTTTTGCGTGCTGGGGTTTGGGGAGAATCATTTTTTCCAGCTATTCATCTGTCAAAAGTTATAGAGACCTCAATTCTTTACTCTTACTGTGGATATTTTGGCACAGTCACTCACATTTTTCATCTGGCATTTAAAAATGGTTTGTTTTATGTTTGCTTGTTTGTTTGTTTTACAAAAGGACAAGTTTATTAGAGAAACATTTGCACAAGAATTACCTCACAGTACAGAGAATTGAACTAACTGGTTAAAGTTAAGATCTATCTGTGAGGAGGAAAAGCAAATCTTAGATTGAAAATAATAAACACCCAGAAGTTTATAGAAATAAAATGTTTTATATCTCTCTAAATCAGAACTGGGGCTTCAAAGCAAATATTATTTGGCCACAGCCCATCAGTAGTCTTGCATTCACCTTATCTATCTGTGCATAAGTAGTCTTCTACCCACTTAAAAAAAAATGTGAAATAAATAAAGCATCTAGCCTTTGTGATTCTCGTCAAAAGCTTGAAAATCTTAATTGCTCCTATATTTCTCTCCATCTTCACAAAGAAGCCCAACAACCTTCAAGAACTAGAGGAAGAAGCATTAGGCAAAAGCTACAGAGTTAATAACTAGTGGGACGGGGGAGAAAAGTGGAGTCTAGAGAAGTAAGTTTCTGCATACGTTAAATGAGATAATTGTATTCAATATATGCTAGGTATGTAGCTATTATTGTCATTATATAGAATGTAGGAATAAAACTCACTTTCAGGGTTATTGGTAGCATATAATGAGATAACATTTATAAAGCAGCTACATACAATGATGAGCTCATAAGCTTCAGTGTTTAATAAACGGTAGGTGCCATTATGCTGACAGAAAGAGCAGACCTAGGAATGGAGAAAAGGAAGATTATCCCCTTGGACCTAAGAAATTATTTAGTAAAAAATGTTGAGTCTTGAACTAAATTGAATTTTGTGAAGTCTTTGAATATGCTAAACATCACCGAATTGTACATATTAAGTGGATAAACTGTGTGATATGTGTATTGTATCTCAACAAAGCTGTTAAAAAATATTGTGAGCCAAATCTTAATTTTTTTCAGCATTCCTATTCCTATTGTTAGCACAATGCCAGTTATACAGCAGATGCTCATTACATTCATAATGAAATAAACTGAAAAGATAAAATAAATGGGGCAGGGCAGAAAAAAAGAGCTGTTCCTTAGCTTGGTCCTAGATCTTTCCTTCCCGATGGAAAGATGTTGTATTTCATTAACGTTTACAATAACTCTGGAGTGATGCATAATCTGTACAAAGTGGCTCAACAGTACCAAGAAGCAGGGAGCAAAAAGATGAAAAGTCATGATTTCTCCATGAAAGCCACAAGAATGACTTGCAATATGTCACCTTTTGATACCAGTCACGGTTAGTACATGGCTCCTTGAAATAGCCAGTTCATTCTTCATTTTGTGCAAACAAAAACTCAGAGAGATGTTTGCAAAAGCCATTATGACCTCTTAAGAGTACCTATCAGAAATGTGACCTAGGCATTTTGAATCGATAATCACCATTTTGATCAATCATACTTCAGTTGCTTTCATTTCGAATGCAAGCTAGTATCATGTCAGAGCCTATAAATCAGAAACAAAAATACTAAGGGATTAAAGACCAAGTCAAAACAACAGTGGTTACCTACAAATGACTCACCATTGACCACAGAAAAGAAAATTTTCCCATCACTTGAAAGATGCTAGGCATGGCTCTCCAGCCTGAGGAACAACTCTAAATTCTCCTTAAAGAGTTTAAGCTCCATACCATCCCACTTTTTTCTCTCGGGACTAATTTCAGTCTTATTTATTCATGTCACTTACTTGTTATATAGATTATGTTGCCTGTTTATTACTCATGGCAATGTGGTCACTGCCATGCTGCACCACAGACAATAACCATGGTTCCCACATTGATGGCCCACACCATTCTCCACCCCATAATCTGTGCAAAGTGGCTCAACACAATCAAGAAGCAGGGAGCAAAAAAGTAGCACCACAGACAATAACCATGGTTCCCACATTGATGTCCCACACCATTCTCCACCCCATAATCTGTGCTCAACACAATCAAGAAGCAGGGAGCAAAAAAGTGAAAAGTCATAATTTCTCCATGAAAGCCACAAGAATGACTTGTAATATGTCACTGAGGCACCAAGATAGGCAGTTAGTGAAATCATAAATGGCTAGCACCAACCTTAGGAACAATGAAAAGGAGCAAAATTTACCATTCCTGGCCCTGACTTTTTAACTTTCTAAAACATTGGCCTTTCATGAATGGAAGCCTGCAGCAATTCATCTGAGTAAAGGGGTATATAAATCCACCCTTCTAATGAAGAAATTACCATTGGATAAAAGGCAATAAAGCCAAATCAGAAAAAGAGATTTGACAAAGGATCTCTAATTTTTTTCTAGAAGGTTAGATAACTTACTTAAAAAACAAAACAGGTGCTATGAAATACCAATTGAGGCAAGATTCCCCATGATACTATCTAGTTTTCATGCATGTCATTGCAGCACAAGTGTGGAAAAATCTGAGATATTTCCCTAAAGTTTCTCTGAAGTTTCCACAAATTTCAATGTGTAGAATTCCCTGGCAAATATGTTAAAATGCAGATTCCCTCACCTCTTCCCATACCCCAAAGAGTTGGGCCCAGGAATATGAATTTTGTTGAACATCCCAAGTGAGTCTGATACACAGGTCCTTTAATTCTGATGCATCCCACTTTAAGAAACTCAGATTCCTAAGAAAACAATAAAATAAATGTGCTTTGCCTTAATGTTATAATGCAGATATAATTATGAATGATTTTAAGAAGCCTGGTTAGTTATCATTTATAAAAAAAACATAAGGGAGATTGCTTTTCTTTTGACCTTTCTGTGAAAACAACTACTGTATAACATAACTGAACATATGAACATCACAATAAGCAGACAGAGCATATGGGGCACTGAGTAGCATTATTCATTCAAAGGAAATTTACTATAAATTTGTTTTCTCTTAACCCCTAACCTCAGTGGCCCAAACAAACCTAACAGTGAAGAAAATTTTCAAAATATTATTTAAGTGAATCTCAGTCCCAATACAAAGACTAAAGTAATGTTGATTCAGATTATCTAAAGAGCATTTCACTGGAAATCAAACACAGTACAAAAATTATATGTAGAAGACTGAAAAAGAACCCAATAGTACAAAAAAAAAGTTATTAGACAGTTTCTAGAAAAGAAAGCAATTTTCACAAATTAAAAATATTTCATTAAGACGTTTTTGTATCTGAAGGGATAGAAAAGTAAATATTAAAAATGAAACATATGTATCTACGATATAACTAGACTTACTGTGATCATTTTGTAATATACACAAATACTGAATCAGTATGTTGTATACCTGAAACTAATATAATGCCATGTGTCAATTATACCTCAATTAAAAAAAAATGTGAGGTAATAGATCTCAACTAAACTTATTGTCATAATCACTTCACTATATATATATATATCAAATTATTACGTTACACACCTTAAACTAATACAATGTTATACATAAATTATATCTCAATAAAACTGAAAAAAAACATTAAACTAAATATTGCTCCAATTTTTCAGGTGTTATTCAAAACTAGTAGCTCAGCGGTAGTATTAAAAGGACGCTCAACTTAATTAGCCTTCTCATGCTACTGTGACTATATATTACATGTACTCAGTTTTTGAGCCTTTGTCTTGTTCTTTCCCCCTAGAATTCTCTTTGACTATACACTCAACCCACCCTTCAAAGTTCAGATCACACACGCTTCATCCTTAAAATCCTCTGACTATACTGGACCTCACTATCCTCTTATTTACCCACAAACCACACACTGAATCACTTAATCAGAACTATGCATTTAATAATATACTAGAATAAATTATTCATTACTATTTTTCATGTATCAGTTAACATTTGCAGTTAAATTTTAACTCTAAAGGATTAGGGCCATGTCTCATGCTTCTTCCATATGCCACCAAAGCATCAAACAAATGTTGGCTGATGAAGTTGAAACAACTACTCACCAAATATGTCAAAAATAATAAAAAATTAGGCTAAGGGGTTAAGATTTGCTCTTACAGGATTTCTTATGTAAGCAAAGTAATGAAAATGGAGATATTAAAAAATAAGGTATTCATTCAATAAAAGATGGAATACCACATGGCCATTAATAACATTACATGTGTTAAATATAGTGTTGTTTATAGTGAGGAATAATTAAGGCAACTTGCATGTCCAATTGTAGGGATTATTTGTAGGCATTATGATTTTATACTTATGGTAGAGTAATTTGAAATTATTGAAAATCACATTTTTGCAGAAAATTTAATGACATGTGGGAATATTCATGTTAGTGAAAAGTATGGTAGTGAGAAACATGAATATACATTTTTTAAGAAAAAATTATTTAGAGAAGACACTGGAATATCCAATAAAATTAA